TAAATTTCTAACCTTAGTTTTACCAAGTGCTTCATATATTTCCGAAAGAAAAAATCCTTTCATAGCATATGACTTGAACTTGCTCTTACACATGCGAGGGCAGCTCTTCTCTGTGCCTCTATGGTCTTCTCGAAAAGTCTTTTTCAACACTGGAATTGCCTCAAAGGCTAGCATCTGCACATAATACATATAATTCGATACTTAGACAATATATCTCAATTAATAATTAGAAATAAGCGAATAAAGGTGCAATGAATAATCTTTACCTCCAAAGAAGTACAAAAACTTGGAAACTTGCATGTTCTATCGACGACCCCTGTATAATCAACCATTGCTTTCTGGATATCTTTCAAATTCTCATCAAACGAGAATCTCCCCCAAGGAAAAGTCTTACAGAGCTCAAGATCATCCACAACTCTTATGAAGAACTTCTCAACCGAGGGTGCTCCCGCTCCAGTTTTTTCCTTCCCTACTATGACGCTACATAGGAAGTACAACACACACATCTTCAACCTATCTGGATGTGGTTTCTTCATCTTCAACAGCTTTTCATGCACTTTTGCATAAGTGATTGTTGTTCCTCTGCCAAACTGTCTTTCAGCGAATTTCATACCCCCCAGTTGGCTATAGTTTTCTGGATAGAGATGACAATCTAATACAGAAATCAGAGCGTGTTCTTTGAGAGAATACCTAATTGGGACGCCATTCACAATGAACCAAGCCTCCCTTCTCTTCTCAACTTCAGACGTTCGAAGCAGGAGCATCCACATGCCCATAACCTTGTGGTTTGAGTCGTCATACATATGGAAGAAATGCTTGAATTATGGGTGGTTGTGAAACCAATTCCTCTCTTCAATGGTAAGATTCAAAGAATTTATCGTATTAACCGCCTTGTGAATGTAACACCTGGTCGATATCTTCACCTGTTTCTTGTACTCAGTCGGATTAAAGTACATCCGCATAGGTTGCATTGGTTCCGTTTCAATCGAATCCTGCAACTGATTCAAGTTTTACCAAGTGTTACTTTAATTTTTAGAAATACTATGAGCAACTGATTCAGGTTTTACCAAGTGTTACTTTTGTTTTTAGAAATTCTATAACTTTCAAAAAGTTTTACAACGTACTACATACTTGTTTAAACAAAATTTCATCTAACTACATACCGTAGGGTTCTCCTCATCATCAGAGTTCGTCATGGTTCTGACCAATCCGGTTCTGAGGCTGCTTCCTTCGCCAAGATTCTGATGCTGCTTGCTTCTTGTTCTTGACAGATCCACACTTACTCCTACAATCGCACAAGAAGTTCGTAACTATTAAGGCATCAATAGACAGAAGCCGATGGGTACATAAAATCAGAGTTCATGATAATGAAAATTATTGAATTGCAAAAGAAAATCCAGTTTATATATTTCCTTAATTCATGTCTCTTCTCGATCAACATATTAGAGGGGAAACAATAGGGAAATTCCGGAATTCAACATACCTTTAGACGTCCTTGTTATCTCGCTTGGAATTCAGCGAAAGAGGATAGTGAGAGTTGAAGAATTCAGAGAGTAAAGTGATTAAGGGGGGAAGAGAAGAGGAGGAGAAGGAATTCAGAGGAGAAAGAGGAGGAAGATGATACGAAATTGGCGAATATTAAGACGAATGCTCCGTCAACTGACTTGAATTTAGCGAGGATCGTGTCTGTTCAGTTTCGCACCCGATGGTTTTAACTGGAAACTGAAAAGAGTGTAAGATTTTGAAAGTTTTAATCGATCCAAGTTGTCGGAGTTGGATTGATTTCGGGTTTGGATTTCTTATGGGTGGGCTAGATCCAATTGAACAATGGTTGGATCTCTAATTAATTGAAATTGAAAAGGAGAGTAAAATAAATCAATAAAATTTGGCATTAAAATAATTAGATAAATATATGAGTTTTATAACAAGGACAATCGGGATCTTCTTTTGAATGAGAAGGGTAAGCCAGCCATTGTTTCAAAAGAGAGTTACTTATAACCTAATAATAATCCTACAAGACAAACATCATCATAATCAGAAAAAAAACATCAAATTATAAAAAGTAAAAAGAAAGAGAAGCTTCTTAAACAAAACGAAGGAAATTTGTTCGATGATATTTTTTCAAATCTGAGAGCAACTCCAACCATAAATCTCTCCTTTTGGGTTTCTAAACAATTTTTCTATAAATATAACTGAAAAAATAAAAATAATTTTTAATAACAAAAGAATTAAACAAATGATATATTGACACATCATCTAAAAATGAAAATCAGTTTCTAAAGTTTATCTAATGAGAAACTCTCTCTTTTTCTCTCTTCTCTCTTTGATTTTTTTTTTATTGTTTAGAAACTCTCTCTAGAAACCCCATTAGAGATGTTCTCACTCCTCAAAACTCGTAAAAACCTTTACACTCTTTAACAAAGACCGATAATGAAACTTGTCAACAATTTCAACGACAATGTGTCTGACTAGACGAAGCATATGTCATCATGCATTGTCCGAGCAATTGAGCGATGAGCTTGATTTAATTCTTCCTCCCTCAAGTCTACCATATATGATTCCTTTTGCATACAGTTTAATTCAATTCGTGTATGCTAGTTATTACTGTTTACCAGGTTATCTTAGTGAACCTGAGAGCATCAGTAATGGAGAGACATTTCAAAAAGTTCTTAAACAAAAAAAATATTATTACTTTAATAAAAATAAAATTTGTAATTAAATTTGAAGTAATAAAAAGAATTAAACTAATAAAAAGTTGATATGTGTGAGAGCTTCATTCTTGTGGGTATCCAAAACCTCATATATAAGAATCGATTCTCAATTATTAGTATGCTATTACATTATCATTATTATATTTTTTTTTTTCACTTAAGAGATCTATTGGATCTCTCCAATACAGATGCTCTGAAGCTATATGCTATGTACGATGCTTATTGGTGTTCAAACATCTTTCTTCCTTCATTTTAATGAATTATCCAGCGTTAAAAAAAAACCTTATAAATTTTGGTATATCTTTGATATTTTAATTTAAAAGAAAGAATTTTTTATTCGGACTCCTAAAAAAATACCTTATGGTCAATCTTTTTTTGTTTTTAAGTTGCAATCACTACAAAATATTCTAAAGCTATATACAATACAAACTCTATAAAGTAATAATGTTATAATTTTGATATTTTATTAATTTATATAATTATTAATTTATCAGTTTTGTATAAACTAAATTATAAATAAATAAACAATTAAAAACCATAAACTTTTTTTTTATAATATTTTCTAAAATTTTATTTAAAATTATAGATAAATCTAATATATATTAAACAGAAAGCATTAGTGGCTTACGTGTAATTATTTCAGAATTTAAAATTTTTAAATCTCAATAATAGTTAAAAACTTAAATAATTTATTCTTGCAACCAAACAAAAACTTCTCTAATTATTTATTCTCTAATATTTTGGATTTTTGTATATAATTTAAACAATTCAATTTAAATAAATATGACTGAAAATTTAAGTGAATTTTTGTTTTTTTTAAAAAGTATCTAAATAAATTATAGATTTTTTTTTAAATATTTTTACAAACATTACCCCACACGAACGTGCGGATAGTAACCTAGTTATAATAATAAAAATAAACAACAATATATTCATATGATAGTTATTGTAGGGGAAAATGTCAAATTTCACCTGAACTAAACTGGTCGTGCTTTTTTCTACCTGAACTTATATAGAGTACGTTTTCATATATCAACCTCATATAAAATTTAAATAACCTACCCCAACTATTTATTTCGTCCCAAAATCAATATTGACCACATTCCCATTAGTTGACCGGTAACAATTGCTGATTCGATGGACGGAGATGCCAGAATGGCAATGATGTGTGCTCGATGAATCCCAAAATGACGTCGTTTTGATGTTTACACAAACCAACACACAAAACGACGTCGTTTTGTATTTGGGGCTAAATTAAAATTTTACGGATTTGGTTTCATTTTCCATGTTCATCTTCTTCCTTCTTCGCAAAACATCGACAAACAATTTTGAATTTCTCACTGTTCATTCCATCAGGTAAATTCGATTCTCCATCTCAGTTTCAGTAGTTCTTCAAAGCCAATTCCTCTAATTTGGGATTTTTTATTGTTCATTCCAGTTTCTGGGAGTATAAAGTTAAAATTGATGATGGTTTTGTTTTGAAAATTTCTCAGTGCATTCGAATAATGGGTGTTTGAGTAATAAGATTTCATATGAGATGTCAATGTGGAGAACCTGCAGTGATGAAGACGCCAAAGACTACTAAAAACACAGGAAAACTGTTTCATGCTTGTCTATTTGGAGAACCCGTAAGTGTGAAATTCAGATTTGGTTGTTCTACAAATTTCAGTTGTTCATTGAGCCTAAAATTGTACAAATTTCTATCAGGATAATTGGTACCATATATTCAAATAGACTGATACGTATATTGTTCAAGAGATTAAGTACTTGATCGAGAAAGTCGATAATCTAGAAAGAGCTTATATCACATTACAAAAAGGCTTTAATTCTTTTGAATCAGAGATTGACACTCTGACAATGGAAACGCATGTGTGTGAGGCTGTTGTTGGGAAAGAGATCTAAGAGTTGAAAATGCAGCTTAAGAGTTTGAAAAGCATTGTGGTGTGTACTTTGGTGATGGTTTTCTACTTTAGGTGTGTATTTTGAGTATTGGATTGTGGAAAATTATAGGAGTATGTATGTTGGAGTTTAATGGTAGTTGTAAGATTCTCATTCAAGACTAAATTTTTGTAAGATTCTCATTCAAGACTAAATGTTTGTAAGATTTCTCATGTTCAAGACTAAGTGTTTAATGGTTTTTCATGTTTGTTTTGTCATGTTTGTATATGTGAATAAAAAAGACAAATGATAAGAAGAATCACTAATTTTCTGGTTTGAAACTTCAGCATCAATATTCAACAAACCGTAACAAGAAAAAGAGAAAGAGAACATCCATCATTACAAAAACCATCAAATCGCACCATATCCTAAACCGAAAAATTATCTTTGCAAAAACCATCAAGCCACTCCATATCCGACTCTATCATCTCTTTCCCTGAAAGCATAACACAACAGAAACAATCAAACACCAAGAGCCACACTCAATTCTCAAAGAACAATCAATCAATTCTCAATTAACAATAAAATCCAGAGTTGCATATATAGATCAACACCAAGAGCCATAATCAATTCGGTCCCAGAAAATAACAATGAATTATGACAATTAGCAATAATCACAGGCATCATACCTGATATTAGTCTTGTGTTTGTTGAGAAGTTCCTTCTCCAACGTCTGAGTCTTCTTCCCCTGCCATCTTCTTTGGTTTCCTGTATACCGCCACTCCTAAGTTCGGACACTTGGTAGCATTGTGTCCAGCTAGACCACATCGACCACAATGCATTATTCTCTTCTTTCTGATTGCCTTCTTTTTTGTTAGAGACTCATTCTTTCCTTTTTTTTCTCTCTTTGGCTTTGGCTTTCTTTCTTTTCTGTTTTCAATTTGTTCAACCAAACTCGGAGGAGGAAGCACCACAGAACCAGTTTTTCCCCCAAAAAGCACTTACCATTTACTGGCTTTATTGAGTCATTTTAAATTTGTTGCTGCCTTGTATTGAGATAGCAACTGGAGATGTAATCTTCATAATTCAGCCTTCTTTCTGCGATGATACGCAAGGCATGAACACATGGAATCCCACTCATATCCTATCTTCTACATGCGCAAGTCCTCAATCCCAGGTTCACAGAATATGAAACACCTGACTCGCGAACCTCACATCTACCATCTGACACTGGAATAACCCTACAAAACTTTAACTTCTTCTGCTCTAATTCTACGATCTTTGCTATTCTATTGGGGTATCTACTTGTGTTGTCTAATGCTTTCTTCTTTCTGTGATCAATACCCACCATAACTTTTTTCCTAATAGTCTCTGACATCTCAACCATAGGCATATACCTTGCAGGATCAATGGCATTGTTGAAAGACTCTGAGATATTGTTGTGAACATCTAAACAGGACGATGTTGTTAAGAAGAATGCTAGAATGCAGTTCACTGGATTTCTCTCATCATGGCATCATAAAGTCGGATAGCGTAGCTTTTAACTGCAGCAGGATTTGCTTGATATTAAGACATGGTGCAACTTTCGGCAACTCTCCAGAACAAAATCTTCATGTCGCTCTGTTTAGGAAAAAACTTATTCAATAGCCATTGCACTGCATTCAACAAATCCTGAAAATGTGACAAATATTATTAGTAAAGCTAACATATTAACAGCTCTTCTCAAGATATTAGTACATAGAATTTAATTATACCTTTTGTCTATCAGATATAATCACAAATCCTTCACTATCGTTTAGATCAAAATCAATATTTAGCTTGTGTATGAACTAAAGCCAATTATCCTCCAAAAACCCAAGCTAGGGGATACATTCCATTATTGGCGTCTCTTCCCACAACAGCCAAAAGTTGTCATTTAAGTGTACATTTCAAGAAGCAACCATCCAGCCCAACAATCGGACGACACCATGTAGACCATTGCTTACGAATGGTTGCAAAGCACACATAAAATCTATGGAAGATTTCTGATCCAGCATCATCCATGATTGTGTCTACCACCAATGTGGACTCTGGATTTGTTCTGGGAAAAAGAATGTAATAATGTTATTAGAAGTGATCAAAAAAGTAAAGTGAAATGCTCAAAAATGCTAAAAGTAAATGAAAACATCAGCTACTTATTCAAAGAGTGCTAAGCGATAATCTTTTAGCCTAGAAAACTGCTCCTCATGATCACGATTGATGATAGCAATTGCTTTTGCCTTCACCTTTTTACATATGTCTATGGTTGTAATCATATTGAACCTCTGCTCAATCTGCTCTTGCATAGCCTTCGATTTAAAGTCAGGATCAGTCCTGATATCATCCAAAAACAGCTTCATAATCACTGCTGATTTCAATATCTTCGAATACCCATCCTTTTGACAGCTGTGTTTATTTTCAAAAGTCTTAACCATCCACTTTCCAATTGGCTCTTTATAAGAACAATATATATTCCATGGACAACCATCTTCTATCCCACACACAGCTGCAGAATTCTCTTTTCCCCATTTGCTTAGTTTAATATTTCATCCTTCCTTGACTGAACAATCAACCAAAACTTCTTTGAAATCGTCTAAGGTGTCAAAAACCTGTCTTAGCTTCAGCTCACCACTTCCTCGCTTGCATCTCACCAAGCTCTCCTCTCCTTCACCATCAGAATTAGGGGTGTGTAATGGTAATCAAAATCCTCATCTTCATCAACAAAACCAGTCACATTTCTTTCTACCCGAACCTCTTCTTCACATCTCTCAGATTTTACGACATCTTCAAGATGCTCTGTTTAGTTTACCAGAAACACATTCACTACTTTTATCCATTTACCCGCTTCACACATCCTCTGAAAACTCGATTCACCACCATTTAATCTCTTTCGTTCCTTATTATCTCTAAACGGCAGCTTATACCACATATGGTGGCCGTAGAAACTGTTGCCTTCGCCCATCTCATTTGCCAACGCCGTGAAGAAATCCTCAGGGTCACACTCAAATGTAATCACATAACCAGAAATATAACCAACATCTCCCACATGATTCTTCACCCAATACCCACCATGATTCACACTGAACATAACCTGATCCGAATTGCTGTAAACGACATTAAAAAGTAACATTATTACCTCTCTCAGACATTTAATCAAATATTTGGTGTTCAAGAAAAAAACAGACTATATGTTCACAAATTGATTCAAAATTCATGAGTATAAGATTAAAGAAAAGCTAAAACAATGTGACAAAACCAAAAGTATTGGATTACAATGAAGTGAAGATTTAATCAAACAATTCGATTGTGCTTAATCAAAGAATTTGAATGAACATAAAATCTAAAAAATTACCGTATTTTAAACTCTGTTAAAATGTATGACGTCTCGATTCTCCTATACTTCCCATAATCAATCATCAACGACCCGTATTCAGAAGTTGAAATTTTCTGTTATACTTTGAAACACGGAAAATGCAATCAAATCCCTAAAATTTTAACTTAGCCCCAAATACAAAACAACGTCGTTTTGTGTGTTGGTTCGTGTAAACATCAAAACAACGTCGTTTTGGGATTCACCGAACACACATCATTGATATTCTGGCATCTCTGTCCATTGAGTCAGCAGCCGTTACCGGTCAACTAATATGAATGTGGTCAATATTGATTCTGGCACGAAATAAATAGTTGCTGTAGGTTATTTGATTTTTATATGAGGTTGAGGTATGAAAACGCACTATGTATAATTTCAGGTAGAAAAAAGCACAACAAATTTAGTTCAGGTCGAATTTAGCCCTTTTGCCATTATTGTTGGGCTCACTTATACCACGACCAATCTTTAGACGACACATGGTCATTAAGTCCCGTCATAGCATTGACCTTCTCCCACTAGGCCTGCCACCAACTCTCTAATGAACTGTTTTTGGGCAGGTGACGTGTTTACCGAGTGAGGTGTGCTGCATAAGCCGCCTGCTCCCCCTCATGCCGTATGGAGGGGAAAGGATATCGAGTATAAAAAGAGGTCGAAAGCCAAAGGAAAGAGGAGGCTGGATCCCTGGATCCCAGGTCAGCCACGTTTAGGGTGAATCCGAAAGAAAGAACAAGATACAACAAAGGAGGAGGAGGAGGAAGAGGGGAGAACCTCCGACTTCCGCCTCGCCGGAGCTCTCCCTGTGGCCCACGTTGCAGCAAGACTAAAGGGGGACGCTCACCGTCCTCCGGAATAGACGCCTACCGAGATAAGCGTTTTTTTTTTTATCTTCTACTCCTCATTCTGCATCCGTATGGAGAGGACTCCTACCTCACTCTCCCACGGTCCATTCTTTATGCTCTCCCATCCACTAAACACCAGACATGTATCATGATCCTCAGACGGGATATCTAATCTTTAATCACCTCAACACCTATCCTCCCGAGTATTTGTTCCATGTTGGGCGTATTAACTATCGGAGAACTTTCAGAAGAAAAACCCCTTTCGGTCCACCCAGAGGTCCAACTCACTCGGTTGTCTATGTATACAGGATCCGCTAGACTTCTACCCTGGAGCTGCATATCACTTATCCCTCCAGAGGACAAAACTCAGAGACACTGCTCTACAAACCTAGACTATCACATACTCTCTTAAGTATCACGAAATTTGCTCCTAAACAGTTGAATATTTATATAAAGTTATTTTTATGCTAATTATTAATTTATGATTATGACTGTATATTTTATATTAGTTTTTTAAAAAATATTATTTTATTAATTTATTGATTTATGTTATATTTTGAATAATCTAATTTAAAATAAAGAAAATTATTAATTTATAAAATTTATCAAATTATCGAATATTAATTTATAGAATTTCTACTGTACATAATAGTATACCGATTTAAAAAAAAAAAAATTATTGTGACCCCTAAACGGATAGTCAAATTATTTAAAGTTGCAATCATTGTCAATATTCCAGATCTATAAGCAATTTATACCGATAACCAAAATCATATATCTACTAGAGACTACTACGGGAAACGGTCAATTCCTACCTCAATATATACTCGCGGTCCCATTCCGATCCTGTATTCTTTATCTGTGCCAAAATCTACCTCAATCAAAATTATATTTGAATTTCATACCTCAATTATATAAAATCAAAACATCCATACATTGACCACAAAACCCATTAGTCAACTTCTGATCTATCAATTACAGATTCTTACATGGCCATTACGGACTCTTACGTGGCTATACAGTCACCTAATCAAACACAAAAATCATCCATTCATCGAAATGGTGTCGTTTTGGCCAACAAAACTTGAAAAAAATACAAAATGACGCCGGTTTGTTCTGTTGCCAAAAAAATACAGAACAACATCGGGATTTCTGACTTCATCTTCTTCTTCGGTTTGCTCTGAAAGTAGAAAAATAGTGTATGTATGAAAAATCCGTGAAATTAGATTAAAAAAAAAGAGAGATTAAATTTGAATCTAAATCATTCAGTTTCTGCTAGTGGGAATTACAAAAATGAGGTATGTTTGTCAATCAATCCATTATATAATTTACCGTCATAATTCATTTTGGGTTAACGATTAGTGAACGATGGTTGGATTTATCAACATTGTTAAGCTAATAGGATTCTGGGTACATGTTTATTACATATTTGCGTGAGTGAATAAGAAGAAGTAAAAATGCATATGAGGTGTTCGATTAAATGCACGAGTGAATCTTTCTTATTGTATTTCTGGATTTGACGGTCTTCTTTACTATTTCAGCGGTGATAATGATGTTTCTTTTGTCATATTATATGATGGGAGGTTTGAGAATATAAATGGAGAAGCTGTGTATATTGGAGGAAAAACACATTACCTTCAAACCAACTCGCGTGCTCTATTCAGCGGAATAATGTCAGCCAAAATAGTTGATTTGTATAGCCAAAGGGTTTGGTATAAAATTCCATATGAAGACACAAAGGATTTGAAATTGTTGTGTGATGGAAGCACAAATTTTGAGAGTATGTGTAATGCTGCTGTTTGGACAAAGTCTGTAGAAGTATATCTCGAGCATGAAGATGCTCATACCGTTGGAGAGGATCCTCCAAACTCAGGTGGAAATGGTGATGCAAATGGAACAGAAGAGATTGGTGCTGCAGCTAGCGACATACGACATGATGGAGCAGCTAGCAATGATGGACGAGATGATTGTTACTTTCATGAGGCTGCACGTGTGGAAGCAATTGTGGCTGATTTTGTTGATGAGGAAGAAGATAATGACGCTTATAGAGACACTCCTCCTGTATCAGATGATGAAGAAGAAGAAATAAATATACCGTATGAAAGATGGAGAAGAGGAAGTGGAGAGCTAAAGATTATGCATGTCTTTGAGAGTATAAAAGAGTTCAAGGAAGCTGTCTTAGAATATGCATTGAAAGGAGGATGGAATGTCAAATATACAAGGTGGGGAACTGAGAAAGGTGAGGCCCAATGTGCTGTTGTAGGTGATATTCCTTGCGATTGGAGAATATATTGTTTTTGAAGAATCATTGAAAATGTATATGGTGAAGACATATCAAGAGGTGCATACTTGTACCAAGGATGGTTACTGCAAGTTATTGTCGAGCCAGACTATTGCTAATCTTTTAATAAATGAGATTAGGAATGATCCTCAATTGATGCCTAGGGCCATTCAAGACATCATCCAAGATCGTTATGGTTTGACAGTAACACATGATATTAGTAGAAAAGCAAGACAAAGAGCATTAGAGATGATAAACCTTGAATTTGATGAATAATTTTCAAGGATAAAAGACTACAAAGAGCAACTTATCGAGTAAGTCAACATTAACTTTCTACTTTCTATTTCTTTTAGTTTTTTTTGTTTCAGTATATTTATTTTTTGTTATTATTTATCAGATCAAATCCAGAATCAACCGTTGATCTTGAGACAGCCATTAGCGAGGATGAAGTTGAAGTATTTGACAAGATTTATGTATGCTTTGCTGCACTTAGGACAATTTGGCGTGCTCATTGTCGACCTATATTTGGAATCGATGGTTGTTTTTTGAAGTCTACTACAAGAGGACAACTCCTTGCAGCCGTAGGAAAAGACGCTAATAACCAGATATATCCAGTCGCTTGGGCAGTGGTTAAGATTGAGGACGCCGACAGTTGGAAGTGGTTCATTCAGAGGCTAAAAACAGATTTGGATCTTAAAGATGGTGAAGGGTTCACAGTTATCTCAGATAAACAGAAAGTAAGCATGATAAATCAAAATCTGATATTTACTCTTCTACTGATTTCTATAATATATGATCGTTATTGCTTTCAGGGATTGATAAAGGCCGTGCAAGAAGAACTTCCTCGGGTAGAGCATCGGATGTGTGCAAGGCACATATACGGTAACTTGAAAAAGATACACCCGAGGAAGCCTATGATGAAGAAACTGTTTTGGGCAGTTTCAGACAGCTTCAATATGGGAGATTATGAAGCAGCAATGAAGAAACTGAGGGAATATGACATTCATGTGTATGAAGACTTGGTGGCAAGGGATCCCACCACTTGCAGTCGTGCTTTTTTTAAGACAACTTCAACTTGTGAAGATGCCCTCAACAACTTTTCTGAGTCATACAACAGCGGACTTGAGAAAGCTAGGTCTCTTCCATTGGTGGAGATGTTGGAGACCATGAGAAGACAAACCATGGTTCGGATTGAACTGAGAAAGCAAAAAGTAGCAAAACGTAAGGCAAAGTACAGCTTAAAGATGGAAAAAACAATCGCTTTGGAGGAGAAAGAGCGCAAATGGTGTAAGAGAATTCCTGGTCCGAATGGTATATTTGAAGTCTCTGAGAAAGGTACATCCTATACCGTCAACATTAACCAGAAAACCTGTAGTTGCAGAAAGTGGGACATGACAGGGATTCCTATCAACCACAGCTTCACAAGTTCTTGTCTCAAGCGCTAAATTCACAATATTTTCTTCAATCTCACCTTTTAGTCCAGCTATTGCTTTCTTCATATCATCAATCTCTTCTACAACCGACTCATCTGTCCATTTAAACAAATGATTTTTTTCCTACAATAACATCCATATAACTCATTATCAACACACTTTAACAATGTATAATCCCCGAATTTGATGTTAACCTTTTCGGATCCATTTATACAACAATGAAAAAGTCTTCCTGGGTTTTCAAAAATCTTTGAAGTTTTGATTACACAAACTCCTCCACACCAACAATTTCTAGGAAACCCGATCTCCACTTCGCAACCTCGTCTTCTCCAATTTCTGTTTATTCTTACGCCTGTATAAAATAAAATATTACTTTCTCAATTCACCAAAACAATGAATTCAACTATAATCGACCAAACTAACCTGAATGGAATGGGACCGTGAGTATATAGGATCGGAATGGGACCGTGAGTATTTATCTAAAGCACAACCAAATCTATCGCCTGTCTTAATTTATCAAAATACTTTAGTTTCTAATAAAGAGGTTACGAAACCCACATCACTTTTTAGAACTCAAATCACTCTTAGAGACATAAAAGCATGATTAATGAAGAGATTCAAAGAAACTCTTAAGTAAAAAAGAAAAAATAAAATAAAAAACAAATATGAGGTGGCACAGAATTTTCCATTAGTCAACTCTTCTACGAGAGTCTGTAGAACCGGCTCTATTGATACGTGTCCCAAACTAATTTTAATTTTGAATTTCCGTTTCTGGAGATTAACTACAGTTTTTATCAAACTTGGACCTTATTTCTTTTATTTGGGGGAAATTGGAATGTGGTGAAGCGGTTTTCGGGAGCAGGAGATTTCTGTGTTTTTACTCTTTAGGGTTCACCGGTTGATAGGGTAATTCCGGTTTATTTTTCGTCGGAAATCTGAACTTCTCCGGCGACATGGCTTCTAATCTTCCGTTGAGCCCTCAATTAGAGAAGATCCATGGCGAAATCCGTGACCATTTATGAGCTATCGCGTATGCTTTCTTCTAACATTTTCTCCATTTTTTCTTTCTTTCTCTTATGTGTTAACTTGTTCGCTTTTTCTCATTCTATGTCGTCGTTACAAAGCACTGTGATATCTTAGGGTATAGGAGTTTTAAGTAGAATGAATATCAAATGCTTTTTTCACGTATGACTGAATCGCATATGCGAGTAAATTTGATTTGGTGGTTAGAATTTGAGTACTTGATGGAATTTATGTGTGTTTCCCTGATGATAAGAGATACCCGGAGAGGTGGTTCTTCAATGGAATGAAAGATTTATCATTATCTGTTATGCGGGAATGGTTTCCAGAGGTTGGATAAGATCAGGGATTCGAATAGACAAAGCAAGCAACTAGATGAACTTACAGAGAAGATGAGAGAGTGTAAACGGTATGCTTAATTGCTTAAAACCATCTTCTTAATGATTCATTGCATATGGCATGCATCTAAGTTTGATAATTGTAATGCTCACTTCTTCTTTGTTTGGATCCCAAATTATACGAATTTGGATAATTCATCCAGCATTTGTTTGATGATTTCAATTTTGGGATCGAGCAGCCGAAGCACATCGGCCATGATGAATGGGATGTTGCTATGGAAAGACGCGACAAGAAAGTCGTCGCAGCTCTTTCCTCATGATCCGTTTTCTTTTCTTTTGTCCCTCAGGTAGGTCTGTGTTCCTTCTCTAATTTCTTATTCAATCCATCCTCTCTGTGCTCTTTCTTAGTTCACTCCTCTTGTATATCGATGATATTGCTACTCTGCTTTCGATCTTAGGCACTTCTCCTTAGTTCTCTGCCTCTTGAAGCTTGTGAATGGTGGTTTTTTATTTTGGTCCTGTCTAGGAATGAACGAGATCCTTGATGGTTGGTTAATTGATAATTTTAGATGATCTAATATAATATCAGTGTAATGTTGAAACGCATTAACTGCAAAGAATGTTACTGGAATTCTACTCTTCGGCGGTTCTATATTCTTTTATGCCTACTTGAACTTGAGAGAACCAGTTTCACAAGCTGTCGCTGATATAAAGGCACTGCAATTATGTTCTCGTTTACTTAAATGTGAGCTTGTACTGGACCTATTGAAGTTTTACATAATTGTTGATGGCCGTATTATTTCTTCTCAGGCTGACATCGCTAGGAGTCTACAAAGCAGACTTGACATTATCTGTGAGGAGGCTGAGCAGGATCTCAATCCAACTGATGATGGAGACATTGAAGAAGAAGCTGAGATGTTGGAAACTCCCATTTCCAAAGTCAAATTTAACTCATCTACGTAAGTCTAGTACTAAACATAACCACTGCTCGATTGTCTGGTTATGGTTGCTCTATCTTCACTTATTAAACCAGTAAACCAGCAATCAGGCTGTTGCTCCTCTTAATTCGCTTTGGTAACACTTAATTACATACTATCTCATTCGTTTGCATGTAAGACATCTGAACATGCAAAATTTTTTGTTTTTGTTTTTAAGAACTCCATAAGATTTCTCCATTGTAGGTTTCAAAATTAAAAAAAAGTTTATAAGCTCTTAAATTAAATTAATAATATATTTAATGTTAAAATATACTTGAGAACTTTAACATGGAGTTTACCATTGTGGATGCTCTAAGAGCAACTCCATCGGGAGCTTTAAAACAATATCTTAAGTATTAAATATTAAAATATATGTAAAAATATAAGAGAAAATTTTCCTTATATCAATACTTTTAAAAACATATATTACTTTTTGGTGATAACTTTGTTAATGATTGGTTCTCTTTTTTTTTAACTAAAAATTAATGATATAAATAAATGAATTCATAATAATAATATAATATTGTTTAGATATTCATTTTAAGAGTATGACCGATGGAGATGGTCCCAAACAAAGTAACACGTTCCTTTATGCGAAACAAACGCACATAAGTTCGTAGAAAGAGTTCAAATGATGTGTGATTACAGATCCACGACTCATGCATGAAGGGTTGTAGTAACTAGTAATTAAGACAGATGGCATCAATCAGAGAGATAATATTACAAAAGGATTAGATTAGAAACAAAAAAGTTAATTAGGGAGAAGAAGAAGAATCAGAGAGAGCTTGGACTATTGTGCATGATGCAAAATCCCCAACGTTGTCGTTTAGCACGGTTGAGAGATATCTATTCGTTGGTTTTTTCTTAACCTAAAATAATTAAAGAAAATAAAATAATCAAGAGTGAGGAAGAGAAAGAGAACAAAAGGGATGCACGTGATGCGAAGTAGGTGTTTTGGATTTTGATTACGAATACAAATAAGGATGGAGCTGTTCTTCTTGTCATTTTCCCTCCCGACTTCCCTTTGTCTTTATTATTGACAAATATTTAAATCTCGCATTTATAAGATTTAATTATGTAAGCAATTTTCTTTATTAGTTATCTACATGTCAATTTATATTCATATAAGTTTTGTCTGTCTCACAAGCTAATGGACGTGTTAGTTAGATAGATTTAATTGCATTCTATAATGTAAATATGGAATTTATTAAGCACATCACAAGTTTCTGTTGTCATGGTTGTCATGGTATGTCGTAATATAATTATCGAGATGTGAAACTTTCAGCCATATCTAACCCTATTTTTGTCCTAAGATGAGACAAAAAAAATCTCGAAATTTAACAATTTAATCAAAGAGAAATAAGTGAATGAGAGAAAAATTGAAATAGGAAACTAAGATTCAATAATGAGTTGTATATATTGTGCAAACACTATACAGAGGTATGTGCATATGTATGTATAGGGTACCAAACAGGTAAGATTCAGGGGATGATGAGCATCATAAGGGTTTTGGTTCTTATGTTTGTAAGAAAGAGAACATTCTTGGGTAGGTTTTGATGGCCCATGTGTTTTGTTTTTTTCTGATGACTCTCGCTACACTACATGTTGATGTATATGATGCAAAATTTCTGTCTTCAATCGTAAGTTGGACTCACTGGTTAATGATACTTGATGTGTACTTTGCTCTTGGATTTTTCTCTCTTATCTATTTTTTTCAATCAAATCAATTTCCAAACATGACAAAAAATTCCGTCCCGTCCCGTTTGATTTTTTTTTTTGTTGTTGTTGCTAAAAGGCTTTGTCCCGTTTGATTTTGTTTATGATTTTCTGTCTTAAGTGAAATTCACAAAAAAAGTCCCCTTTGATTTTGTTTATGATTTTCTGTCTTACGTGAAATCAAAACACATTTGGAAAATGGTTTTAGTCGCAGAAATTCTCATTCCACCCCCAAATTTCAAACAATTGAGAATCTTCATGCTTTGATTGATAATTTGCTTAATGGCGATGCATAATTCTATCAATAATTAATCCCCCAAAAATATAATATAAAAAAAAATGCTAAACAAAACGCAAGAACACAAGTTTTGAATTTCAACTTGGCAACTAAAAATAAGCAAATAGGTAAGTATATAATATCTTATTTAATGATAAGTAGTTGAGTTAATATTTTTTATTTATTTTACCAATGAGAGAATCTTTTATATATTAATTAAGAACGTAATTTAATAAAAAAAATCTGATTTATTTTAATTCTATTTGTTAGCATGTTTAGTTTAAGCGATTTAAATGTAATATGGAAAATATGATTTGTAATGATGATTTAATTGTAACATGTCAATTTTTTGTATATGTAGCTTGTGACATGATATTATTCAATCTATAAATAAAATTTAACGTTACAGTTTTTATACGAAATTAAAGTATTCAAGTTTTTGTCAAAAAATTTAGAAAATAGATTTTGTCAAATAGATTTAAAATTAAATTTTTGACACAAAACCTTTATCGAGGAAATTATGGATTTTAAATATTTTGCGGGAAATTAGTGGCAATTTATTTTTTCTCATTTTTGACAGAAAATATATAAATTCATAATTTTTGGCAAAAAATTCACAAAATATCTATTCTTTTATCTATCGCTGAGGCAGCGGCTGCAGGTGGTTAATTAACACATATGACGAACGTTGCCGGTGGTATCCGTTAATTGTTGCGGCAGTTTTAAGAAATTATTAGTTGTCAATTAGGAGCCGCGATTGATGTAGAGAGTCGCTGATTTTTGTTTGCGTCTATGAAACCAGTCGCATATAGTACTGCATCAAATAATTATCATTCCAATAGTAGAAGATCGGAGAAGACAAAGAAGAGATTAGCCTCTTTTTTTTGCCGCACACGGCTGCGACACATTGCCGAACAGGACTAAAATCAAATTAAAATACTATAAAATAAATATTCTGGTGGAAAAGTTACAAATTCATAAACGAAAAAATTTTGGAATAGGATCTTCACATAAATATTTTAAAATTATATTTTTAAGTAAATTTGTTGGTACAAGATTTATGACTTCTGTTGGGATCTATTTTGCCGGATCGAAGAAGAATTCGCCACGTAGGCCTAGGCTATATCGATGCTGATATACGCCACGCTAGCTTAGCCGACCCACTCCCGCATACTGTACCGGGAAAATTGGCGGGTTTCCCCTAACACGCCAGAATGATTACTCCCACCTGCTCCTCGGATGCGCGGCTTGGAAGGGACATGACGAGAGAATGGCGAGTATAAAGAGAAGAAAAATCCTTCAACGAGAGAAGGAGGAAGATCAGAGAAGCCTCCCTTCCGACGTGTAAGATAATATTTCCGGCCATGCAGCAGGATCACGGGTGGACTTCACATCCCTCCCGGGTGATTGCTGACTAGGTTAAGTCATCACTAACTTGGAACCTCACCTTTATGCTCGCTGCATTCCCCTTTTCACAAGTAAAAATCCCTCTTGAAATACTCAAAACCAGACCGGAGCCTCGATTTTCGGATGAGTCCCCTAACGATTAACCCGTAGAAAACTCTCCCCCCCCCGTAGAAAACTCTAACCACGTAGGCCTAGGCTATATCGATGCTGACATACGCCACGCTAGCTTAGCCGACCCACTCCCGCATACTGTACCGGGAAAATTGGCGGGTTTCCCCTAACACACCAGAATGATTACTCCCACCTGCTCCTCGGATGCGCGGCTTGGAAGGGACAGGACGAGAGAATGGCGAGTATAAAGAGAAGAAAAACCCTTCAACGAGAGAAGGAGGAAGATCAGAGAAGCCTCCCTTCCGACGTGTAAGATAATATTTCCGGCCATGCAGCAGGATCACGGGTGGACTTCACATCCCTCCCGGGTGATTGCTGACTAGGTTAAGTCATCACGAACTTGGAACATCACCTTTATGCTCGCTGCATTCCCCTTTTCACAAGTAAAAATCCCTCTTGAAATACTCAAAACCAGACCGGAGCCTCGATTTTCGGACGAGTCCCCTAACGATTAACCCGTAGAAAACTCTCCCCCCCCCGAGTACTTGTTCTCGGTAGGACGTCCACTGACTTGGGAGTCAGAGAACCTTCGGGAGGGAAACCCCCTTTCGGTCCCCCCGAAGGCTCGCCTGACGTTCGTTTAAGTGGCTGCAGGATCATGTACGGTACATGCTTTGCCGCCTCGCGACAAGGCGTCCGCCCCGGAACGACGATTAGCTGCCTTTCCCCCCAGAGGACGGAATTCGGAGACCCGGCTCCACCCCCGACAAACCATGACCCCCCACATGGCATCCTAAAATTTGCTCCCGAATAGTTGGCGCTAGAAGGAAGGGGTCACCGGCGGACGTTCCACGAAGGAAGCAAAGCGTTCGAAGATAATTGGCAGAGGGTGCGGGTCGAGCATGCTACGGTTCTGTTCAACCCTCTCGGGATCTCGGGACCATTGCGTGTATTCACCCCGAAACCAAGACTCAGGATCCGCGACGCAAGCGGACGTTCTACGAAGGAAGCAAAGCATTCAAAGATAGCTGCGCGGAGCGCCCGGGTCGAGCAGGCTACGGTTCTGCTCAACCATCTCCGGATCTTAGGACAATTGCACATATTGGCCCTGAAACCGAGACTCTGGATCCGCGACGCGAAATAAGACGCAAAAAGGGCGAAAGACGAAGCTAGGCAAAATAAGATAAAGCACCGTTACTTAAAAAAAAAAAGGGCAGGCCGAAGCGGCTGCCGGTTCAAGTTCGAAAATAAAAGTTACAAGGAGAACGAGTCCCTGAAGCAGAAACAAATTAAAAACCCGGAGGACGCGAAGGTCCCGCCGGTAAAGAAGGATCCGCACCCCTAGCGTCTCCACCCGCCCCTGAAGTGCCCGACCCTCGCGACCTGCCGCGCCTCCGCTCTTCCTCAAGCTCCTGCCTTAACATGCAAATCGTGGTCTGGCTCGTCGAGAAAGCCTAAGCCGCCACCAACGCCAAGTCCACCTCGGCCCCCAGAGCGAACCCCCAGTACACCGTGAGGGTTTGGAGGAGTGTTTCCACTTCCAAGTTGCGTGCCTCCAGATCTCGTTGACTGCTGGCAAGCGGCAAGGACAGTCGCTCCATCTCCGCACTAAGATCCTCTCCAGAGGCGGAAGTTTGGGACTCGGCGAGCTGGTCCTGGGTTACCAAAAGCTCGGCCTGAAGCTCGTTATTCC